TAATACAAGTGAACATGCGAATCCCAGGAGGAAATTGAGAAGAAGCAGATGTGATCGCTGACGTTTCGAAATCCAGCTTTTTAATCTCCCGAGAAATTAATTTCTGTTCGCGGTATACATCAGTTTATCTAAGGTCTATAGGCGTAGACCGAAATAGTAAGTGTATATTTGGGCTGAAACCCGTCAACCACTGCGAAATATGCACTTGCTACCAACAGACAGCCTTTAGTAGTATATATTGATGTTGCAACTTACTATACTAACAGCCTAGCTACTAAGTAAAAGGCCCAGACGTGTGTTTCGCCGGTATTCTGCCGCCGTTGGACACAGCTGCGAGGGGTCCGGCTCATCAGTGGGTCCCCCAGCTTTCACTGTCTGCTTTCTGGTTGATATACCGGCTTTGAAAGTTCACCTGTTTAATCTTCCGAGAAATTAATTTCTGTTCGCGGTATACATCAGTATAAGGAAATGGATCCGACAAAGCAAACGGAGACCGGAATGGCCATTTCTAGCTTATTAGCCGTCATCAGCCTGTCATACCCAATCTCAAGGGTTGGAACCCCCGAGATTTGAACCCGGGACCTCTGTTCATTGAGTTCAATACTCTACTTCTAGTCCACGGGCTCCTTGCTTTGTCGGTTGAGATCGGGAATATGATGACGGTCCGGCGGGTTTACGTTGTGAGCTCCTGGGCAAAGCAGAACTTAATTGTTCCTCTACTAGATCGGCGAAACACATACATTCGTCATACATCAGTATATTTAAGGTCTATGGGCGTAGACCGTAATTGTAAGTGTATACTTCGAAATCAATCGCCGATCCACCATCAGACAGTAACAGAAATGAATAATTCATATAGAGGGAGTCGCAATATTTATAGGATACAGTCACTATACCACTGCCTAGCCATGACAATTAACCACCCCCTGCATCGAGTATAATCGCCCGCGTGTGCGTTAATTGCTCGTTGGACGGCGTGACCTGCTGAACTTGCATCATCCCTGCTGGATTTGGGCACGATGATTACTCGGCCGTCTGGCTCACTGGCGTCGGCGTTAGATGACGCGTTCGCCTGTGCGTTCCCGAGGGGCGAGTTGCCAATTGATGAGCGAATAGCAAATTACGTCGTGTGCAACACCTCCTGGCTAAGGTGTGATCGCAAAACCGTATACAGGCGACTGATTTGCCTTGGAGCCCACCCAGTTCTAAGCGAGCACAAGTTTTCATTTATGTATCGAATCTCTACAATTACTTGTACTTGTTTCGGCTGCGATCATGCCTGATCGAGCTAACCCCAGTGATTTCACGGACGGTACTGCTTCACGCGGGACGATTGGCGGTAGCGGATCTAGAAAGCTCCATCCATTCTCTTCTCCGGCGACGAAAACCGGAAATCAAAGGTCCAAGAACCACTTACGTGTGTTGACGAACGGTATCGAGCCAAGTCTTGAGCTGCTCACCTCTTTGGCGCTTCCAGGTAGGCTTCAGAAAAAATGGAGCCTAGCTGCAGACTACTTGGCGCTTCCACAGATGGCGGATAGTGGAACGGCTTCAGTTAAGGTTAGCTGGCTCCTGGGTCTGGCGAATAAGCAGTCGCGGACCAGCAGCGACAGTGTTACCAGGGCGCTGAGGTCTGGAGCACCGACTACCTTATAAAATGCCGCAAGTCCCAATGATGGCCCTATGACATGGCGAACATGAACCGCCTTGTGGTTAGGTTCTTGAGGCAAAGTGCTAGAGGAGACAGCCTCGAACAAAGAATCAGAGCGGCTGTTGGGCGACCCGCCTGTATTAAAAATCCCCAAGATCC